ACATTTGTACATTTGTTGCTATCATCATTCTCAAAATATTTGCTTTCTACTTGAGCCCTTAATATCAGCTCCTCATTTTCCCTCTCCCTCCCCATGCCCCCTCCCTCTTAAATCCTTGATAATTTATAAATAATTATTATTTGTCATATCTTACACTGTCCAACATTTTCTTTCACCCTCTTTTCTGTTGTCCAATCCCCAGGGAGGAGGTTATATGTAGATCCTTATAATAGGTTCTACCTTTCTACCCCACCTTCCCTCCACCCTCCAGGTATCACCACTCTCACTACGGGTCCCAAAGGTGGCTATCTGTCCTGGATTCCCTGTTTCCAGTTTCTATCTGTACCAATAGACATCCTCTGGTCTAGCCAGATTTGTAAGGTAGAATTTGGATCATGATAGTGGGAGGAGGAAGCATTTAAGAAGTAGAGGAAAGTTGTATGTTTCATTGTTGCTAGCCTGCAACCTGACTGACTCGTCTCCTCCCTGTGACCCTTCAGTAAGGAGGTGTGCAGTTGCCTACAGATGGGCGTTGGGTCTCCAGTTTGCAAGCCCCCTCATTTACAATGATATGATTTTTTGTTCTTTGATGCCTGATACCTGATCGACACCTCGTGATTGCACAGGCTGGCGTGCTTATTCCATGTGGGCTTTGTTGTTTCTGAGCTAGATGGCTGCTTGTTTACCTTTAAGCCTTTAAAACCCCAGACGCTATATCTTTTGATAGCTGGGCACCATCAGCTTTCTTTACATTTACTTATGCACACATTTGTCTTCAGCAATTGTGTTGGGAAGGCATGCATCATGGAATGCCAATTTAATAGAACAAAGTGTTCTTGCATTGAGTAAGTACTTGAGTGGAGGTCCAATGTCCATCTGCTGCCTTAATACTAAACCTATAAATATATACACATAGATCTATTTCCCCATCATCCTATATAAATATATTTACATGTGTATATGCCTGTATTTAGACCTCTATAAATACCCTTTGTCTTACTTTCCTCTTTTCCCACTATCATGTTCAGCCTTCATTTGGGTTTCAGTAATTTCTCTTGGTTGCATTGTCTTTGCTGAATCCCTACCAGGTCTCTCACACCCTCCTTGCCACTAAATTTGGCAAATCACTTGTTGCTCCCTTGTCCCTGGGTTGGTCCACACCACCTCCTTACCCCCGCCTCCCCCTCTTCCATGTTCCCCCGAATCATCAGTCCTGTTGTTTTCTCCTCCAGACTGTTCATCCAGCCTATTGTATCTAGATAGATCTGCAGAGATAATAATATGCACCAAAAACAAGGCATAGCAAGACAGAGTGACAAAAGAGAATACAACGATGACAACAAAAAAGAAAACCAATGACCCATAAAAAACTATATTAATTAAAAAAAAAAAAAGTTAAACAAAGAGAGAAAAACCTGTAAATAGATCAAGGTCTGATTTTTGACCTCGAGGCCTGTCCTCCAGTCAAGTCCGATGGGGTGCCACGCTCTGGCCCCAGTGTCTATCCTTTGCACGCCCTTGGGAGCTCCCTGCTCTGCTCCCCCCGTTGCTCTGAGGCACGCCTTTAGGGTTTTACTTCGGTGTCATGGGGTCAGTCCGGGCCAATCCCGACACTGAGTCTCCAGTTTTGTCCCCTGTAGGGCCATGGGTCAGCCAAGGACGTCGTGTGTCATAGTGGGATCAGCCATATGGTCCACCCTGTGCATTGGCTGTTGGGAGCGGGGATATCGTCCTCCAGGCCTGGTGGGCCAGGATGTGCTCCACTTTCTTCCTCCCCCTTCATTTGCTCCCATGTGCTCTGATCAGACATGCCCCTCTCCCCTAGCTGCAGCTTCAGTGCCGTCCTCCAAAGGAAATTCTTCTTGGGGGAGGGGCAGTTGTCCATGTAGCTGGTATGGGGGCTGAGCCCTCAGACCCCTTCACTGGCGCCCCTCTCCATGCCCGCACGCTGCATTCGTACCCCGGAGCACTGGATTTCAGTCTGGTCCCTCTTGCCCTGTGGAGACACAAACAATACCCACCCCTTTGGTGGGCCAGAAGGTACCTAATTTTACCACCAAAACTGCATTAAAAATATGCTGAAAAACTCGGCTTATACACAAGTATATACAGTAAGTCGTTTTTTTAAAGTCTTGTGGTGTGTGTGTTTCAACACAAATTGTGCAACAATGCTGGTAGCTTGTAGACAAAAGAGGTCTTTTTTTGGATAATATTAGATAAATCAGCTTCTACATATATGTAATTTAGTAGACAATTTTAGTTTCAAGGAAGAACAATGAACAAATTCATGCATTGGTGTGCTATATTTCAAATGCCAAAACTTATGTTTTTTTAATAAGGCATTTTGGCATGCATATGAATAGTTACCAGTAACTGCCAATTAAAAAGCTTACTTGGATTTATAAAAATTTATTTGAATTCTAATTTCTCTAATAATGGTAGAAATAAGATCTTTCTGAAACCATGGATCACCTTAACCTTTCAAATTGGTAATTTGATCATCTTCTGGTCTCCACTTTAGACATTTGCCTGTGGTAATATCTTTAATTCTTCAGCCAGGCGTCTTCAAACTATGGCCCACGCGCCACATGCGGCCCGCCAAGAACATTTATCCAGTGTTTTGCCCTGTTTGTTTTTTAATTCAAAATAAGATATGTGCAGTGTGCATAGGAATTTGTTCATAGTTTTTTTTAAAACTATAGTCCGGCCCTCCAGCGGGTCTGAGGGACAGTGAACTGGCCCCCTGTTTAATAAAGTTTGAGGACCCCTGCCTTAAGCGTTTGAATCGACATTTGTTTTAAACTTCTTGCCCTGCTCCCGCCGGCCATTGAGTTGTGTGTGCCCTGACTGTCATTTTCAGGAAAACTTGAAACCCAGTGTTACAGCTGTTCAGTTTAACAATTGCAGTTAAACCGTATTTTCTTGTAGTTTATTCTGTTTTTCTTTATTTTTTAAACAGGAAGAAAGTAAACGGTGGAGTGTGCGACTAGACATTTCTGCCCCTCAGATGATATTTCCTGATGATTTCAAATTCAAGAATCCTGTATTAGTTGTTGTGGATCTAGGAAGAATGTTACTGACAAACACCCAAGGTAAAATAATGTGTGCATGTGAAACAATGAAAATGTGTTGGGAGATAGATCTGTCTATGCTTAACTAAAGAAAGCCTAAAAAAAGGTTTATATAACACTTTTAACTCCAAAGTTCATTACTTCTGTAATAGTTTTATTGAGGTATAATTCACCTACCATAGAGTTCACCCATTCAGAGGCTGCAAGTCTGCGGCTTATGTAGAACTGACAGAGCTGACAACTATCACACTAGTGACTAGGTGTCTTCTCTACTCCCCAAAGGAAGCCCACCTCTCCTAGCAGTCCCCCCTCGTCCTCAAAGGAAGCCCACCTCTCCTAGCAGTCCCCCCTCGTCCTCAAAGGAAGCCCATCTCTCCTAGCAGTGCCCCCTCGTCCTCAAAGGAAGCCCATCTCTCCTAGCAGTCCCCCCTCATCCCCAAAGGAAGCCCATCTCTCCTAGCAGTCCCCCCTCATCCTCAAAGGAAGCCCATC